AGAATTCATTCAATTGAAGTAATGCAGTAAAAGACTCGAGAAATTAAACCAGAAAAAACATAACATATATAAAGCATATGAAAAGTTGATATAAGAAATGTCTTCAAAAGACCTACAAAAGTTCATCAATAATAAAAGTTAGGGCTCGGAAGAAGCATCTTGAGGGGGAAGGTTGTCAACTAGAGAAAGTTTGACAGTTGAAGAAGGATCAACTGGGGGACTTGAAGTTGAAGGATGAAGATTTGCCTTCGCATTGTCTTTACTTAAATAACCCTAGAACTTTCATCTTTGGGGGTGGAAAAGCCCTAGCTAGGCGGTGTTGTCTCAATGACCTCTTTAGCCTTATCCAGTTCAGCTTCGAGATCAAAACCTGCTTGGCTGGCTTCGGTCAAAGTTTCAAAATGAGTATGGAGATAAGCCAACTAACATCCATAGTCAATTTATCGTCAAGAGCCTCATACTCCCTCTCCAGTTGGTCAACTTCAGGTTTTAAGCTTTCTTTCTCTGCTTACACAGCATCGTTAGAGATCTTCAAAGGCTCCAAAGAAGATTCAAGGAATTTAATATTTTCAAAGGAGACACGAAGATCTTCTTTAGCTTGAGTGGACTCTTGAACTAATTCACTCGGATATACCTCATTTTGATTCAGAAGTTGTTTCAAACTTAGAATCTCCTCTAAAGCTTTAGAATGTTGCTCAGCAAAAGTAGCTTCCGTTCTAGCCTTTTCCTTCTCCGCGTGATTTGCTGAAGCCTTCACCACCGCTAGTTCAGCAATCGATAGTTTGAGTTGCTTCTCCAAAACTTCTTTCTCCTTAGCCAAACCCCATTTTTCCAATTGAAGACTCTCAAACTATGCCTTCCAATTGCCATCTACCATACCTAATTCGACAACGTCCTGCTCAGTCTAAGCCACCCTTCTCATTAGCTCCATACTTGTCAAATTGATATACGAAAAAGAAAATAAAAAAGGTTATATGAGTATGAAGGGAACGAAAAGAAAGAAGTAAAGGAAAGGAGTTAAACCCCGAGTGCTGAGTGAATCAAATCATTTACTAGGGTAATTGAAGTGAACAACGGCTCGGTCAGGTTTCTTCAGAAGGTTAACACTATCGGGGACTTCAATTACTTCTTGCTTCGTCTTTCCCTTGTTGGAAGGGCCAACTTCACCTTGAGAATTAGCAACGGGAGTACTACGAGTCAGAGGTAAAGCAGTGAGAGGTTGTTCCTCAATAGAAAAGTTGAAGTCTTCATCACTGCAACCTTCAAACCCTTGGGAAAATAATTCTTCAACTGGTACCGAGGGGAGAACCGAAGCTGGGTCAACAGTTTCTTCCTCCAAAATCACCAACGGAGTATCTTCAGGCTCGCCAACCAACAAAAAGGTACGCTTGTTCAAGGTCAAACTTAAGAAATATTTTTTTCATCCTCTAAGACTATTTGCCTCCTAGTTTGTGGCCTCTTCATAAGAAAACCATCTTCCTCTTCTTCCCCATCAGAGGCAGGAGTTTCTTTATCTTTTATCTTCGAAGAGGACAAGCTCAAAATATTCTCCTGAGCAGTGTTGACATCAAGTCTAATAGCAGGAGTAAAAGAGAGAGAAACACCACGTATCCCAAACTCTACATCCAAAGAGTGGAATGTTAAAAAAACAAAAATGACAAAAAATATGCACAATGCAAAAATAACTTATCGCGGGTCATTACTTTCCATCTGAGCTTTTTGGAAAGATATTTTCAAGTTCTCTATTCCATAGGGGCAAAAGATATCATCAATTCTACTCACCCATGAAAATTCGAAAGTTCACCAAAAACCTCCAAAGTTGTTGTGAAAAGATATATGAAAAAATTAGAATTTCAAGTAGAGAAAAAATTAGCAGGTAACATATATAAATAAATCTTACGAGCGAAGTTTCATCTTTCGAAAAAAGGCATGTTCTCTTCTCCTACCAACTCACGAATTGGGACAACCATGAATCTACTATACCACCCTCTATCGTGATCATCCTCAGGAATGACAACTCGCTTACTTCTTGCCATGGGGTGAATACACCACGACGGAAAAGTTTCGGAGAATATAGATGAAGAAGGTAAAGAAAAGTAAAGGGAGCGGAAACTAAACTTCACAAGTAGAGAAGACACGCTACTGCCCTCCATACTATCGAACCTATTTATCTGTGACACACGTTAAAGTAACGTTAAAACTCGATGATTACTGGATATATTGCTGATTTGAACCAAAGAGTAAAAGGGTAAGTGTAGATGAACGAATAACCCTCACGATAAGTGGTTATTCGATCATCTTCACGAGGAGCCATGCTTGGAAAGTTAGATTTTCAGTAACATTCATTATGAACAAGGAGAAGATGACCAGATTTGATAAGAGGTGGATAAAGGTCAACGTGCTCGTTATGACCTTCTATTGTGGTTACCTCTTTGTTCCACACAGCACAATCAGAAGCACAAGAGATTTTTTTGGGAACAATTTTAGAAACTAAAGGTTCGTGCAAGGGTTCATTGGAATCTTTAGTTTTACTTTGGGAAGAGGATTTAGGGGTAACATCCACTCTAGTTTTAAAAGAGGTGGCAGATTTTGAAAAACTTCCTATAGAATAAGAAGTATTTCTATTAGCTATAGAAGCAAGGCTACGAAGCCTACCGCCCCTCCTTCTATTTCTAATTGGAGCTAGAGTAGGCGGAAGATCATCGATTATAATAGCATGACGAGGAGAAGAAGCAGGAGGAGTTGAAGATTTGAAAGCCATTGGAGATAGAAAAGAGAGCAAGAGTAAAAAAATATAGAAGGGAATTGCAGAAGAAGACAAGAGAAGAAGGAGAGTTTTAAAGATGTAAAGTTTCATATCTATAAGAAAATGATACATCATCATAGACCGTCATTATGGAACTATCATCTTAAATTGACAGCGTCGTCTGTGCCTGGGAAACCGCTGTAAACTTTAGAGTCAATTATGATCAGACACGGTGTTTTGAGCATTGAATGGAAAGAGTGCATGTCTATTCACTTCCGCAGCACGTCATAATGATCTCAGGAAGAGGCGGCAAACATTCCCGC